CTACCTCAGACAACTTACGCTGCCCTTCACTTTCATTTCGCGCTGGGGTTTCCACACCCTAACACTTGCACACATGTTAGACTCCTTGGTCCGTGTTTCAAGACGGGTCAAATCGCTCCATTTCGTCAACGTCCCGAACGGCAACAAGTTAAAACCCACATCAATCCACACACAACCACACACGCATAGCAAGCTATCCGCACACGGCGCACACAGAGACACAGGCCCACTCAAAAACACGTTGTAGGCACCTCAGTCCCAACCGCGACTACTCGTCCACCAAGATATAACAGACAAACGCAAGCGTAAGCCCTACCTCCTCGGCGGCCATTTCCCGCAGCATACGAACTGACCTTGACGTCCCACCGCAGCACAGGGCACCAGCAAGCACACACAGCACACACGCCGAGCGCAGCCAAAAAAGCCGCTGCCACAGCACACGCACGCACACACTCGCCAATGAAATATACCACGGATTATAGACACTGGAAACGATTCGGTTCCCTTTCAGCAGTTTCAGGTACTCTTTAACTCTCTTTTCAAAGTTCTTTTCATCTTTCCCTCACGGTACTTGTTCGCTATCGGTCTCGCACCAATATTTAGCTTTAGATGGAATTTACCACCTACTTTGCGCTGCATTCCCAAACAACGCGACTCAAAGAAAACGGATCGTACGCACGAGCAACTCAGGGATGAACGGGAGTATCACCCTCCATGCTGTCCTCTTCCAAGGAACTTGCCCCAAGCGCCCACACTGATCACGCCTCTATAGACTACAATTCGCCGCGCAAAACTTGCACGGAGATTTTAAGCTTGAGCTCTTCCCGCTTCACTCGCCGTTACTAGGGGAATCCTTGTTAGTTTCTTTTCCTCCGCTTATTAATATGCTTAAGTTCAGCGGGTAATCTTGCCTGATATCAGGTCCAATTGAGATGCATACCGAAGTACACAACATTTCCCAAATGGATCGACCCTCGGCAGCCGAAGCCGCCACTCTACTTCGCAACAGCAAAGCCGATTCAAATGCCAAGCTAAAGAGCCATGGTTCACCAGTCCATCACGCCACAGCAGGAAAATCACCCAATAAGCGCATTGTTCAGCCGAAGCCAACCATACCACGAATCGAGCATTTCTCCATTAACGCCGCAGCAGACAAACCGGTCGCCAACTCGCTACAATAGCAGCGTCCACAACCAGCAATGCCACCACTTTTGGAGCAAAGAGAAGTACAGTTTAGTACATTTAAAAGGACTCGCAGTCGGTCCGAAAACCAACCGCAAGACACTTCACATCTGGCATCTCCTCCACCGACTACACGGAAGGAAGAAAGCCAAGTTTGTTGTACGGACACTGATACAGGCATACTTCCAGGACTAACCCGGAAGTGCAATATGCGTTCAAAATTTCGATGACTCACTGAATCCTGCAATTCGCATTACGTATCGCAGTTCGCAGCGTTCTTCATCGATGTGCGAGCCTAGACATCCACTGCTGAAAGTTGCTATCTAGTTAAAAGCAGAGACTTTCGTCCCCACAGTATAATCAGTATTAAGTAAAGGGTTTAAAATAAAAAAGCTACTAGCTCAGACCGAAGTCCAAACGCTCGCCTTTTGATAGGGCTCGCCCAGCAGTAGCCGCCAGCAATAAAGCCAGCAGCCGCCGCCAAGTAAGACCCCCAACTATTGGGTTGAAACGGTTCACGTGGGAAAGTTTTTAGGTGTGTAATGATCCTTCCGCAGTCACTACGAAACCTTGTACGACTTCACCTTTCTCTAAATGCGAGTTTAAAAAGTCCATCA